ACAATTTTCACAATGTAAGCGCTTAATTCATTTTATTTATATAGCCTCAAGGTGTATTCAATCGTTATACGGTATGGAGCAACTTTTACTCAACTTCTGAACTTCACGGACGATAAGAGATCTTCAGAGCACTTTCATTGTTTTAAGGACAATTGTAGGCAGTTCCCTGTCCCTGACCCTGTCCTTTGGCTATGCATCTGATTTCGAAAGACAACACATGCGTTCAATAAACATGCGCTGAAGAAATTGGAACTCAAGCTCAACGCCGTCTATGTTTTGTAAAGACTGCTAAAATGTTGGAAAAAATACCATACATTGCGACTCTTATGTCACTAATAAACTCATAACAGGCTCAGAGCTGAAAATATGTAATTAAAAATTTATTTACTCAATTAGTTGAGCTATTACTTACAATTCTACGATCTACTAAGAAATTACAATTCGAGGCAATTGAAAAAACTTAATAGGACAGCCCTGTGGGATTGTACGACTACGTGGTCTTATATAAAAAATGTTATTTTTAACTACAGAAGGAGCTTGTGTTTTGTGTAGGAATAAGAATTTGAGCGGGGTTCTCTCTGTTTATACTCTTTAGTATGACTATTTTTGCCCTCCTGAAAAGAACCTTTTGATATGAATTTTAGTTGGGACATGTTAAGAAATTTAACTCTAACACAGGCAAAGCCTTTGGAAGATGACGATGACGTGTAGTCTGCTGGATCAGCAAATCGGACCGGACAATCCCATATTCTTCGGTTCAATGATTGGGCACTCGCAAGAGTCTCAACCCGTATGCTTCTGTACAGGGGTTGAACTCATAGGCATAGCCAGAGTGGGGAAGGGGGGGGGGCGACTGCTCCCCTAAACTCAGCAAAACAAAGGTTTTCGGGGAAATGGCATTCGGTCAAATTTTCCATAGTAATTTTTTTTTGCCCTTCCCTAGCTCGAAACCTGGCTACGCCCTTGGTTGAACTGCAACTGATTGAAAGGCCGCAGAATATCTGTGTCCACCCAGCTAAAGCTCCTCCCCTTTTTAGTTTTCCTCGTTAAACTCCTTCTCTCAACAAGCCTTGCGCTTCGGTCAGAGAGCGTAGGGTGTCGTTGTGCCAATTTGGTCGTGGAACATTTCGAGTATGAGAGAGTAATTGCAGTTAGATCAAAATTGCCTGAGAAAAATACAAGTACTTTCGCAGATTACCCGAAGTTGCGATAGTTAAGGTATGATCACAGACAAGTAGACATAGCACTCTTAAAACGTTCATCAAAATCGTTTTTAACGGCCAATTTAAATGTTTCTTAGTTGGTAACTCTAAGACTAGAAGGTCCCGAAATAACGTGCTCAACTTTTTGGCTCAGCTCTGGTACTCTCTTCGGTCCCAAGCTAATCGATTCACCCCTCGAAACATAGGAAAATCCACTAACCCCTCATTTTATCTGTCAAACTTTCATAGCTAATCAAAACAAACATTGTGTAGTAGTAGAATTTCGACTAGAATAGGGTACGTTAATCGTTTGCTTGGGACCAATAGGCTAGTCAAGAAGTGAGCCAATTAAAAATCGTTAGTTTCGTATTGATTGTTGGTAGTACTGCCCCTTGTGGTGCGTCCCTAGCGTTTGACGGTTACACACTACAACCATCTGTTGAGTGTATTGCCCATCATAGTGTATACGACAGATGGCGGTAGGGTTTACAATGATAAATGTTCAATATGTTGTGTCTTCTTGTCTGTGAAATAACATTGAGGTAACGTTAGGATAAAATCAAAACATTGAGAAATATTACGCATCACTTTCAGAAAGACTTCACTTCGCAACCGATGAACCATTCTGACGGCTAGATGAGTACCCAAGTAACCATATAGTAGCAATATAGTTTGTATATTCTTAATTTGGTTAAGTATGGTTAGTTGAGGAATCTGATGAAACTGTCACTTCTTGAAACTGATCCCTTTCTTTATTTCTTTCTTTCTTTCATTCTCCTTTCGCACACGGAGCGCTCGGCGGACCAGCGACTTTGGACGTGAGCCTCGTCCCAGATCACCATGGCAATTCAATGACATATGGTGGACATCAAACCAACCAAAAAAGGCGAAATCATATTAGAACCAACCAACCAAAGACGATCTACGGAAGGAAATTGCCGGTGAAGCACGGAATGAAATACGAAGCGTTAGAGAAAAAGTTCAAGGGATTCCAAAGGAAGTAATTAACGGCGGCGGAAAAGCAGAATATGGTACAGCAGAATTGCAGCCAGCAACCCAAGAACCAAAAGCAGTGCGATGCTAGTTTTCATTTCTATGACGACAACTGAATTAAGGGGCTTAGAAGCAGAACAACAAACGTATCAATGAATGTGTTTTCCGTCGAGCTATTAACGAAACAGAAAGTCGATGAAGAGAATCGATCAAAATCACTTGCACCGCTGCTTTAAAGTTTGGTTACAAGATTACAACTCTGGAGAGCATTTTGTGTGGTCGTTGGGGGCGTGTGGTTCTTAATATGGCGATTAGTGTGCAAAATGTTACGCAATTGCATCCTCCCTATTCGCACACGCCCGAATATCGGAGGCGAATGCCAGTTCGAAATGTTTCGTCTACTAACGACTCTCTGATGACTGTGTTGGGGAAGCAGCATATGCATGTTATTTCGGCGCTTTTGGACAATGCTTGACATTTACCACTTTTTAATAGAATCTTCTTGGACAGAGGCAGAAATATGTCTGATCGATTGATGATAAAACTATTGAAATTGGTCCAGGGGCAGCTGAGTTATTAACGTTCAAAATCTTTCATAATTTCGTTACATGTATCATTTTTGGTTTTCACAAAGTGTACCCCCATGTAGAAATCATAGACGTAGTCCTACGTCAAAAATGTAGTTTGCTTCATAGTCATCCTTGCTGAACATTTTTTACAGAACCACAGTACGGTTTCTTCGTATTTATGCTTCATGTGAAATTCTGGCAATCCTGGAATGCTCGTCTTAGAAAATGCAGGTCGAAGAATCGTAAACGGTGATCGTTTAGGATGTCCTGACTCCTGACGTCTTGTGGTGTTGTGCTGCAATAACACATACCTCACATTCTTCCTTCCCCAATTCAGTATTCGCTCAGGGTCTTCTAAAGATTCCATGAAGTGCATCCACGATCGACAAAATTTCTTATCGGAAACTGCTCGTAGTTTACCTCAAAACCAGGGAAGTCACATTCCAAGCTTACGTTACCTTAAATTAATTCACCACTGGTAACCTAATTTATACTTGTAGCTTGCATCTAGCACTCAGAACTATCCTCACATCCATATAATTGTAAATAATCAAGGGTAGTCATTTCAAATCAACGTAAACTGTCGAAACAACAATTAAACCCCATTTGGCGTTAACGATGGCCAACGTTTCTTCGCGCAGTTTGTTATGGGATTTTTTGAAAGAGTGACTGACAGGTGCTTATGGAATTTCACCATAGAGATTGCTGACTTTTATCGTACGTCACGTATACGTATAGGCAAAATGTTTACATCGGGAAAAAAAAAACTTCATAGCGGAAAATTTTCCCGATGAAAACAAATCACTGACACAATCATACTTTAGCAATCTCTATAGGAATAAAGAGTTGCAGTCATCGTCAGCGCCAATCCATCATAGCAAGCTGCGATACTGTTACGCGTTATGTGTTTATTCTGAATCGTTCATGAGCAAATATGCGCATGTCTGTATCGTTCCTATTTGACATTATTTCAATCAAATAAAAAACAATTTTGCAGTTTATATGAATTAAATTACTGTTTTGTATGCGAACCTACGGCAAAGTAAGGCCTTTTCAATTTCTTACTGGTTATTTTAATAAAAAAAAATAGCCTTTTTTCAAAATAAAGTAGCCTACCCAAGTAACCAACAAGCCCGGTAATTCGCCTTTTTGCAATATAAGGCAAATATTCGACTAATATAAAGCTTAGCATGTTAGCTATATTACCCGGGTATCAGCCTTATATTGAAAAAAGGCGAATTAGTTGGTTACTTGGGTATTGCCACACAATATACAAATTCATGCATTGGTTGGCAAAAAAGCTATCAGTCAATAACTGTGGAAGTGCATCTAAAACACTAAGTTGAGAACCAGCAAAACGCTCGTACAGAAGCGTAAAAACACTGAAAGAACAAGCAACACAGCTAATAATAAACAGTTAATTGCAGTTGTCCTCCCGAAAATAAATTGTAAAATATAAAGATAATTATCAATTTTAAATTAACTCATGTAGTTTCAAATATATGTATGACGATTCATAGTGATTATTCCAAATGCCCATAATGCCAAATGTCCTTATGCCAAATATATCAGACCTTTTTGTAACTTTCATACGATATTCACTTAACACGATTGACATGGCCAAATTTATTCAGTAGAACGGCCTTTTTTTATTTAGCCTTCTATATTTTTCGGACATCTGTGATTCGGCGTTCCAAAGTAGTAATCAACATTTGAAAACAAATTCTGAATTTTAATTGTGATGTAAACATTCATTCACGTAAACTTAAATTTCATTTCACGCAACCGAGCAACTTGAAAACAATGTTTACAAAGATGGGCATTTGTATACAATATTTGCTGCATTGCATGAAATGTATCAGAACTTTACATGATATATAATGTAAACTTATATGATATGTGACGCTCCATTTATGTGCATCATATAGAACAAAATTTTACACTACTTTTTCGAACTGTGCATGAAATAAAAGTGGCAGATGAATATATTTTCCAATATGAAAAAGCATATCAATCATGAACGTACATTATGGTCATGAAGCATGCTGCATATTTTTTGCAACTTTTTTTTTATTGAATAGCTTCTAAAACTGACGCAAATCCAAGTCATTTTTTATGCACTGATGCAAGATAATAAGAAACAAAAACAAAACAAAACAAAATACACATAACAAAAGCCTAAACTAAGCCAAAAAATCAAGCAAATAGAAAACAGTGATTACAAATAGTTACGTACAACTAAAGAAAACACGAGCCATAAAGTGAATTCTGTCGATCGTCAAACGCACAAGTGAGTGATGAGCAGTGGTTCTCAAAATGAAAGTAAACATAGGAAGACCCGAGGGGAACATGATAAAATAAAATCAAATCTCAGTCTCCCTCGGATGAAGAGAAGCTTTGGCACGTGTCGATACACTTGAACCGGAAGCCCCCGATGTGGATGGGCTATCATGTTTGAACATACCGCTGATGGAACTCATCAGCTTCTTCGATTTCGGTTTCTTATCCTTGTCCTTATCCCGTGCAACCTCTGGAACTACAGATTTCTTGGGTTCTACTGAAACTGATGCAACTACGAGGGGTTTATGAATTCGTTCGGGAGGTTTTTGGACAGCTGGTACTTCTAGCTTAGGAGCTATTGGCTCTTGCTTGATTGAAGTCGGAATTGACGGAGCTTTTCGTTTTCCATGAGATGCTGACTTCTTGTGGGCAGCATCATCCATTTGACTGCTGGCTTCTGAGAGAGCTAACGACGACGTTGATGATGTTAGATTTGATATTGAGATGTTTAGCTGGTTAGTTGATTCGATTGCTGTTTGAGGGTTTTCCATTGAAATGGGTTCTGACTTCGTGGATGATTCTGGTATAGTGGGAACATAAGTAACTATGTCTTCTTCTGAGATATGAAGTTTGTCGTCTTGATGTGGAAAAGAAGCTGAGTAATCAACAGCACCAGTAGATTCATGGGTTTGAATCTCTTGAATGACCAGTTCTTCCACGGTATCAATAACGATTGGACGCCCACATTCATCAGGATTCATTGAAAGATCTTGAACTATGTTTGAACTTTGTGGATCTCCAGGCTTGTCCTTGTCAGCATCGTCCATTATCTGAGATTCTTCGATAACTAGAGGCACGTCATTGGAAGACTCAATTGCAGTTTCTGAAATACTTTCGTCCGGTTCCACTTCAAGGAACTCATCTTCACTAGATAAGGAAACTGTATCTCGGAACATATCCTCGGAGAAACTCATCTCCGATTGTTCGTTTTCCGGCAATGGAGTCAACATCGGTGCCTCTATCCGAAAGTCTTCCTGCTCATTGGATTCAACTTTGTCTAAAAAAGGAACATCAACAGAGGAAGCTCCCATCTTTGGTTGCGGTTTCTCGACAGTATCAGGGTGGTCAATTTTCAAATCTACATTTCTGGGCTTTTCTTCGATTTCTACAGGATGAGCTTGTTTTTGAGACTCCATCCATTGTAGAAATAGTTCGTATTTCGGTGGGAGACTTTGTGTGGGTTTAGAAACTGCGTTGGAATGAGAGGAGTATATTGGAAGGCTTTTAGGCTCGGGAAAATGACTAGCCTGGGTTATAGCCGGGAGAGGGCTTGGAGGAATTTCATAGAGCGTAGCGGAAGAGGGAATGAATTGAGAACCACTGCCATAGTATCGGTCTGTATCTCTGCCATCATAGAATACATCATCGTCATCCTTTCGAATGGGAAATAAGAAAAACTATTGGTGAAGCGTGCGACCTTACTTTATTAGCTAGAACTGTGCAAAGATAAATTGAACTAGGCTGGTTTAGGCTTGACACGATAGATTTTAAAAACTAATTTCAAACTACGAATCTGTAACCTGTTAGATTTGTTCCATCCAATTCGATTGGTCCTGGGCAGCAATGAATAATTACTGTCTACAATAATCAGACATGGTGTAGAACTAAAGCAAACGTAAAATATTACTGTACTTTTCTAATGCGTTTTCAAACATCTTCTTAACAAATCATATCAAGCCGAAACCGTGATGAAAAATAGATAATTTCATTTTTGTACCAATCAAATACATCAAGTTATGATAAACTTACCTCCCGTGTTTTAGATTTCACACGTGGCCTAACGGTATTGCTCATCGAAGCCGTTCGACTCAATCCTGGCTCTGCACTCGAATATCCTGAACTGATGTCGTCGGAGGATCGAATATAGCTAAAAACAGAACACCGAGACCCGGAATCAGTATTTTTATCATTCGACACAAACTTCCAAGAACCTACTTATACGGCGGTGGTGGATTGTGGTGTGGTGTCCCAGCTATCTCCACCTCGGGGAAATACATTTCTACGTGGCGACCACCGGAAGAGGACCGGGCACTCTTGGAGCGCAGCACCCTCTGGGACCGGGTCAGTTCGTCAATTTCCTCCTGGGTGCGATGTGTATCCGGTTCCGAGAGGTCGCTCAGGCTGTAGCTTTTGCGCAGCGTTTGCACCAAACCGCCACCACCCTGGGATGGATCCGACAAATGAAATGGTGTGAAATATCGGTTTGATTTTCGGAGTTTTGCGCCAATGGGGGATAAGAGGGAGGTAAAGAAACATTAGAAGCAAACTGTTGTTTAAACAGATTTGTTTATGATCGAAGGATTACGATAATGTTGAATGGTCATTGTCAATAGAGAACCGAAATCCTTCTCACATTAGTTGTAAAAAAAAAACATTGGTCATGGTGCAAGAGTTTCAATGAATCTGTTAAATAAATTGACAAATTAATGAGTTTGGTAAACAAAAATGCATACATACCGTGAAAATTAGGAAAAGTATTGTTACATCAACTAAAAATGCGAGAATGATCACTAACATAGTTGCACAAGCCTTGTTACATGACGCGCAGCTGGATTTGTCTGTAGTATGATTATAGGCTGTCTATGATTAATTTGGCCGGCATATTGCTTTGTTTTTGTGAATCCGAAACTAGCTTCTTTTCTCATGCCTATTTTTTTCCGGACGGAATGCAGCTCAATCGTAACATCTCGCGTGTTATGGGTCTATGAGGTGGTGGGTCTGAGGGAGATACTTCCAATATCCGATGAGCTTCGTGGAAATTTCTGGAGAACTTCGACAGCTGGCACGGAAGACTACAAGGATTGGTCCAGCAGATTTATGGATAAAGTTCAGAGAACTTCGATCACACATTCAGACGTCTTTGTTTACCTAGCTGATAATACCTACTAACCTGCAAGATACACCCGCTCTTTAAGTGTTAAAAAATATAAAAACGGACGTAAAGCCTTAAAACGAAGAGTTAGCCATTTATTTTCTAGAGCAAAAATGTACATTGTTAGAGTACTCGCTCAAGGGTAGATCCATTGGGCCGAATTTTAAAAAGTGAAAGATTAAACTTAGTATTTCTTGAAACATGTATGTAACATTGAGAATTTTTCATGACCTCTGTCTAAGAAAGGATATTGAACACAGAACATAATCTTGAATTTTAGTGTTGTGATGCGTATGTAAACTATCAAACACATAATCTTCTTACTAAAAATGAAAATGTTGGGACGTGGAAACATTCAGACATCTGTGTGTAATTTTAGTAATATCTCATTCTAAGAAATATAAATTCGGATTTCAATCTTAATCCTGATTTTATGCTTGGATACTATTCTAAATTCTGGTGCTCAGATAAAATTTAAGATCATGGGCGAAGAAAATATTTTAAGAACTGAGACTTAGAAAGATATTTGAAATATTTCCTTCTTTCAATCATGAGCAGTTCTCTCGAATTTCAAGATTTTCTATCTGCTGACAGCTAAATATGTTTCAACGCTGATTTTTCCTTCTTTGAAACATGACCGGTTCTTTCTGGGCATATTGAAGCAATGGATTCTGACATCTTGAATGAACTATGCATCGACATAATTCTGCGTACTTCATTAGCTGCTCATTATTTTCCTAATATGAAACAATACAGATGCTGTATCATAAAAAATGAACAACTCAGTGTCAACATTTCAAAGGGGCGTAATTGCTTTGGTAAACAATGGCTTTAGCCGTTGACTTCTTTCGAATAAAAGCTTACAAATTAAAATTAATAACACCGAAAGATAGAGGAATGTTTCTAGCATTATTTATTTGGAAGGGCGAGCTTTCATTTGCGAGATATCAACGGCTAAAGCCACAAAAGCAAAAGCAATTACGACGCATTCGGTCTAACGGCTTTCGGAATAATGTCGTTTTGCCTAATGGCATTCGGCCTAATGACCCATAACCCACTTAAGTCTATCAGCCTGAACATGATGGTTATTAAAGGAACATGAGAGGAAATATACTATTAGAGATAATTGTATTCGACGAAGTTTAATGGCCATACTGGCAAAACAACAGACACATAACCACATAACACATTGAATATTTTTCACAAACATCGTCGATAAAACATTACCGCCATCTGATGAGTACACTCTCATGGGCAGTACGCTCAAGAGATGGCGGTAGGGCGTAAAAAGTCAAACGCAAGTGAATGTATTATGGGCGCAACAGTTGGCAATACCATAGAGGTAACTCTAAGACCAGGTGGTCCCGAAGAAACGTGCTCAACTTTTTGGCTCAGCTCTGATACTATCTTCGGTCCCAAGTTAATCGAAACATAGGAAAATCCACGAACCCCTCATTTTATCTGTCAAACTTTCATAGCGAATCAAAACAAACATAGTGTAGAACTAGCATTTCGACTAGAATGGAGTACGTTAATCGATGTACTTTGGACCAGTGTGAGCCAATTTAAAATAGTTAGTTTGCACCGGTTGGCAGTACTACACGGATAAAAATCCCCTTATACCTTTTGGCAAATTTCTATTGCTGATTATTCATAAAATGTATAAGCATAGAGGTAACTCTAAGACTAGAAAGTCCCGAAATAACGTGCTCAACTTTTTGGCTCAGCTCTGGTACTCTCTTCGGTCCCAAGCTAATCGATTCACCCCTCGAAACATAGGGAAAACCAATAACCCCTCATTTTATCTGTCAAACTGTTAATCGATTTGCTTGGGACCAATAGGCTAGTCAAGTAGTGAGCCAATTTCAAATCGATAGTTTCGTATTGATTGTCAATTTCAAATCGATAGTTTCGTATTGACTGTTGGTACTACCATAGAGGTAACTCTAAGACCAGAAGGTCCCGAAGAAACGTGTTCAACTTTTTGGCTCAGCTCTGGTACTCTCTTCGGTCCCTAGCTAATCGATGCACCCCTCGAAATAAAGGAAAATCCATGAACCCCTCATTTTATCTGTCGAACTTTCATAGCGAATTAAAACAAATATAATGTAGTACTAGAATTTCGACTAGAATGGGGTACGTTAATCGATCTGCGTGGGACCAATAGGCTAGTCAAGTAGTGAGCCAATTTAAAATCATTAGTTTCCACCGGTTGGTACTACCAAAGAAGAATGCTACACACTTAGATTTTTTTGTCGAGATTGGCACCACCGAGCAGGCTCGGCATTTATTTTTACTGAGATCTCAGCAAAATTTATGTTTGTTAGCCGAGACCTCGGAAAAATTCCCGTTTGTTAACTGAATCTCGGCAAATTTTACACTGAGATCCAGCAAAATAGATTGCCGAGCTGCTCGGTGGTGCCCATCTCGGCAAAAAATCTAAGGGTGTAAGATAAAACTGACGGAAGAAAAACTTTCCACGATCCCTTTCATCCAATGAATGAGTGTACTCCATTAGGCATAAATACGTTAGGCATACGGATGTTAGGCATACGGACGTTAGGCATAAAGTCATTAGGCATAATGGACGTTAGGCATAATATACGTTAGCAGGCATGGAAAATCATTTGCATTCATTTCGTGCATTCATTTACATTCATTTGCCTCTAAATTTTTTCTTCAACAGCATTCCGCAAAATGATGTATAGAACTTTTGTAGATTTTGTTATTAGCTACAACTTTTGTTAACAAGTCAAATCTATATCTCCTATGGATGACGAAGCAGACGAATATCTGTGAAAAATCACAGAAAATCTGTGAAAAATCACAGAAAATCTGTGAAAAATCACAGAAAATCTGTCAAAAATCACAGAAAATCTGTGAAAAATCACAGAAAATCTGTGAAAAATCACCGAAAATCTGTGAAAAATCACCGAACTGTTTACCGAACGTTCAGCTGTTGAGATATCGGTAAACTTTCATAGATTTCGGTAAAATAATCTTAGTGTGTATGTTTTAAGACTTAAACAAAACTTATTTCAAAATTATTAAAAAGTCATGAGTTCGAAACCTTGTAACTCATTCTGGTTTAGAATATAACAAAAAATATTAAAAAAAAAAATGAAATTCGTCAAATCTCAAATGATCTAAAACCATATATTTAAAAGCTTTGATGTTGATAAAAAGCAATCTTAATTTTTTTTTCTCCTAAAAACGAATCTTGAGATGGACCAAACTGAACTAAACCATCTGTGAAACCAGTTGCAAAGGAGAAAAAAACAGTACGAAACCTTGAAACTGAAATAAGTCCAAGAAATCGATCTCTAAAAAATGTTTTGTGTTCCAAAAACTTCTCCCTAGATTTAAATTGTTCAAGTCTAAGCCTTCTTTAAAAAAGAGGTTGTATCCAAGATACGACCGTAGGCATGCTTGGCAAGTACAGTTGTTCACACCAACTGCTCATTTGTAAATAACTTTTCACTCAGTTGTAGAAATTTGTTTTTCTTTAAAGTAATTAATAGATTAGGATCAGAATTGTTGAAAAATGTACCCAAGGAGTATATGAACGAACTTCATACAGTGATTGAAAATATTTGGATCGAAAACAGGGCTCCTGAAGATATTTCGGAAACTATTCAGATACCGATTCCAAAGAAGCCTCTTAATAACTCTTTGTAACGTGGTTTACAAAATTGTAGCCAGCTACCTACTCATGAAATTGGATGAAACCACCGAATAAATCCCATCATACCAAGCTGCATTTCTGAGGAATCGGTCCGTGGATGACCACATTTTCTCCTCTAAAAGGATCGTCGAACAAAGCAGATGAACTCTTTGTATTCTCTTTGGATATCCGGCAAGCTTTCGATTCGGTGGATCAAAATGCATTAGTTGATGCCTTAAAGCTCATGAGGGTCCCAAACTTTGTAATCAATAACATTATTAAATTGGGCCTGCATGAGAGAACGTTTTTGAGGTGCTCAAATAAAAGAACTCCTACGGTACTGAAGGGTAGAGGAGTAAAGCAAGGGTGTCCCCTTTCCCCCAGACTCTTTGCCATAACACTACATCATGTACTGAGTCGCTTGAAAGAACGTTTTCCTTACATCTCACTGGGTCAGAATGAAGGAATATCGCCACCAGTAATTTTCGCTTACGCAGATGACATTCTGATCGTATGCAGCAATATGGATCAACTGGATCGTACGGGTTCTGAAATAGCTCTTAGTAGAATCAGGATTAATTGTGCATTGCGGAAAATCAGAGCTCATTGTAAGGGACCCACAGTCA